CTTTCCAAACATAGATTCTCCCACCATCTTTTGTTGTGCTACGCTGTTTGTTGTGCTTCCCCTGCGCTCTTGTCTCTGCAATGTTATTTGGCGTTCTGTGCTAACCATCACACAATGCTCCTTCTACCACGCTGCCTCCTTCTTCCCTCTCCACGTCTCTTTCCTTCTCTCTGTAGATATTTGTGTTTCTGCAGCTGTGCCTCTCTCCTTTACTCTGTTTCCTCTCATCCCCTTCCCACACACCCTCACTGTCCTTGTACTGTGGGCAGTGTATATGTGCACAGAAGCACTTGAGACAACTTTTTTTTTTCATACAGGCAAGCCACTTAGCAGCTTTATATAGCAAGTACCCAAGGAGAGGATTAACAGCAGGAAACATCAACAGAATGGCTTGCAGTGATAGAACACGCATGCATAATACTGCACGGACGCGTGCGCATTCACTTGGAGCTACACCATTGTACTTACCGAGCCTTTGCCAACCACACATTGCACCTCTGCCATCCAACTTTTTATGATACATTATTATGTTAGTCATCCAGCATTTGCTCTCATCCGTATGAGATTCTATTGTAAAATATAGACCAGCCTTTCATCGCGCTGGGCACAGAAAGCAGATTTGACGTTAAAAGATCCAGTGGAGCCTGTGAGCCCCTGCCCATTATTTGATCACATCTTTTGTCTTGGTCAGGTAAGGCAGCTCGTGTCAGTTCGGTGCTCACGGGGCATCATTCACAGCATCTCCCTATTTAGATCAGAGAGGAGTCGCGTGCATTTGCGGCCTCGGAGCACGCGGCGTTTGCCCGCACACACGTATGGACTCTCACCTTGCACACGCAAACGCACATACAACACAAACACACTCATACGCACTCACTACCACATTCTTCATTATCATTCCAGAGCTGATAGGCTCTAATTATCTGCCTTGGCTCTGATTAGTCTCTCTGTAACAAGCTAATTAGATGGAGCCTTGTAAAATCATCACCACCATTACCACAGAGACATGCCTGGGAAAGACACCAACAAGCAGGAGGCGAGGAATGTGTCTTGCACCACTCCCCGCAAAGATTTGATAGTCAACTAAATGTTAAGTGCCGGAGCTCTGATTTCTTTTGATTAAGTGCCTTTTAAACTCGTCTACTTTGCAATAGAATCTTTATCCTTTCTCATTATTCATCACGAAAGGATTGTTCCGTCTTACAGAGCAGGATGATCTGGCTTAAAGCGCATAAATTGCCGCTGTCAACATTTTAGGAGATAGCATCTGAACATTGATTAGTTTCTCTGCCCCCACGATACAGTGGCTATTTATCCAAAACGAACTATCGTCAGATCCCAGTCAGAACTTTCCTCTCCACAGAGCAACTTTAAAGCCTGAGCAGAAAGCGAGATTAATTCTCTCCTCTAGCTTCTTCCCCTCTCTGTTATTATCCCTCTAACAATCCTTTTAGGAGCTGTCACACACTTTATAGCTATTGTGTTTCAGTTGTGAACACTCGTAACGTTGCGTTTTTCATCAAAACTCATCTTAACTGTAAAAGAGTTCCAAAAGAAATAGGAATTGTGATCTCCGCATCCACCTTCTCTTTTCCAACTCATTTGAGCCAACACAAGGTGCTGTCAAATATTTTCATGCGGTTTGAAGACTTCATGTCATTTGCTGTGTGCATGTACTCATCAGAGGTATATAGTTTTACATTATCAGCTATAATAGACTTTGGAAAGAC